TTTTTTTTTTTTTGCGGGTGGGGGCAGGATGGGGGGGGCCGGACAGTGTTTTCTGCAATCGTGTTCATTTTGTTCCCGGATTCGTGCGGACGCCGGCCTCGAGTGACTTGAGAAAAGAGAGCGGTCGGGTTCCCCCTTTCTCTTCACTTCTCTCTCTCAAAACACAGGTGGCCCATTTCTGTGAAACGTTCTTTGATGATTCGCTGAGCTTCCGTCGAAAGCGGGCCACCGAGCCGCATGCATGTGCGCACTTGGGGAAAATGTCAAGCGCCGGGCGGCGGGTGCGGTTTTGGTGGTTGAAAGGGGGCGGGCTTGAAGCGCCGACTGCGTTTGATGCGATGCCGCCATGAGCGCGCGCGCCTCACCTTTTCCTTCCGAGGGAGGCGCCGTACATGACGACATGTCGAGCGCAAATGTCAACGGTAGGCTGTGACCTTTTGAAATTGCTGCGCTGGTGCATTGCAAAGGGGCATCATGCTGATGATTGCCACTCCTACCGGATGTTTGCGCCAAAATTCAGCGCAAAGCAAAGACAACTCCGCGTCGCGGATTCCAAACAAGCGCAAACCTGCTCGCTCGCGGTGTACACGGTCCTCGAGATGATCGCCAAAGTCGCTTTCATGATGTGCAACTTTCCACGATCGGGTCCGCTGAACAGATGCAAAATCCTCATTCGGCGAATCGGCCCCCCCATCGACGGCCGAAAAAGAGCAAGTCTCCGGTCTGCCAATGCGCCGGCATGGATCGCCGCGGGACTCTGCGGCACCAATCTCCCCGCGGTTTCAAACATCAACGCGCGTCCCTTCACTGCAACTCAGGCACACGCAGTCATATTGTTCGTCGGAGGTGCCCGCACTTTTTGGCTTGAGTGCTGCCTCCAGAGAAATGGAAGGAGGGAAGGGCCCCTTGAAAACGTGACCACTTGTTGTCAGTCAAGGAAGCAATTCCCCCCCGAAAAGAGCAAATTGTCGCGAGGTGACCATTTTTCAAACAGTAACTTGAGGCTCATTCACGGAAGAAATGATTTTTGCCTCCAAAGTGGAATGATCTTGATTCACTGCAGTGTTTGAACGTTCAATTGTGTTCCTTTTTTCATCATCGATGCTTTATTTGTATCTTCGATGATTCACTGCAGTGTTTGAACGTTCAATTGTGTTCCTCTTTTCATCATTTGTATCTTCGATTAGAGAGAACAGTTGGACAGTATCGAAACAAAGATATGAGTAGCAATGGCACCCTCCCTCCTTGGGCTGCCCATCTTCAGCATATTTTAACGAACCTTGGGGCCCATCTCAAATGTTTCTTCGTGTCGCAGGCCACAAATGGCCCCCAAGCCCAAGTTTGGACTTGAGCAATGTGCATGTCATTGATTGCATTTTGGAAGGAACTTGCTCAACGCTGCTGACCAAACTAAAGTCACGGCTTGACAGTTGATCTGTTTAAAAAAATAATAATAATAGAGGGGGCGGCGTCCACACCGGAAAGTCAAGTTGAACGGCATCGCGCCTGACTGACATTCCTTTTCTTGTTTTCTCTGTGTGCGCGCGCGCTCGTGCGCGTTTGCGTGCGCGTCTCCAAACGCAGGCAGTGGCTGCCGCGCTCCAAGCTGGTGCCGCTGGGCGTGGACCAGGTGTTGGACAAGGAGAAGATGCTGGAGGGCCGCAAGTCCAACATCCGCAAGTCGGTGCAGGTGGCCTACCACCGGGCCATGCAGCACCGCAGCAAAGTGCAAGGAGACCCCAGCAGCGAGACCAGCGACAGCGACTGAAAGCGCCGGCGGGCCCGGTGGGGGCTTCTCACCGCAATGGCCCGCGTCATCTTGAAATCTGCAAGCTGGCCTCGGTCGCGCGCCTTGGAAACAGCCCGCCACGGTCGTCCTCTTTTTCTTTTCTTTTTTAATTTAATCGGACATGTGAAATGTAATTAAAAGCACGAGCCGAAAGGTGTACAAAGAGGAGGCCAGAAAAGTGGCCGCGCGGCGCACGAGAAAAGCCGCCTTCAACCAAGCACGTCCGCGTTCGGACACCAAACAAACCAGAAACTAATTCCGCCTAATTTATTAAGCGCGGGGTTCTTAGCGACCCCCTGCCGACACTCTGCGGTCTTTTTAAAATTTCATCTTCACAATCATGATGTCACCAGTAATCCCGACACTTCCTGTTTGGAAGCTTTTGTAATGCCGCGCAGGTCGGCGACCCAAGTGAGGCGGGAACACGACGGCCTCACTGATGCTTTGTCCCAAGATGAGCGCTTTACAAGTTTTATATCCATGCAGCTGCCAGAGGTTTTTAGTAAATAAAAAAAAAAACCACAATGGAAATGTGTGCTCCGCTGTGCTTTTGTGTGTCTCGACTGTTGTTCAGCCCTCTGTTCGAAGTTATTGTGAAACAAGCTAGCAATAGCATTAGCTTCAGATTCTACACGTGCGCTCCGCGTGCTGGAGGCTCTCCGAGATGACGTAGGGGCAAACCCTGGACTGGTCGCGAAGAGACGAGAGCATTCACGTTCACACCAAACGACGAATTTGAGTCTTCAATCAAGCTAAAGCATTTTGGAAAGCGGCAGGAAGTAGTACACGGGACCAACACGCAAACTCCACTCAGGATCTTGTGTTGGGTCAACAGGATCGTCCCGAGATGACGTAGGGGCAAACCCTGGACTGGTCGCAAAGAGAGACAAGAACATTCGCGTTCACACCAAACGACGAATTTGAGTCTTCAATCAAGCTAAAGCATTTTGGAAAGTGGCAGGAAGCAGAAAGTAATACACGGGACCAACAAGCAAACTCCACTCGGGATCTTGTGTTGGGTCAACGGGATTGACAAATCTCAGTTGTTTTGTTTTGTGGATGTGGCGAGAGGCGGGAGGCGGCGTCAAAGGCGCAGCGACAAGAAACGCTCCCGGTAGCACGCCACGCCCACTAAGCGCTTGGCTCTCAGCTCCGCGAGCGACGAGTCAGGTGTCGGTTCTTGTTCGGCATTTCCCTCCAAAGCGGCGATGCGACCGGAAAGTTGGCGCCTGGGTTCGCTCGTCGTCGTCGTCGGGCTGCTGCTGCTTCCCCCCTGCGGCG